AGTAGTAGTCGTCGTAGTAGTAGTTAGTAGTAGATGGTGGTAGTAGTAGTAGCAGAAGTAGTAGTAGTGATAGTAGTAGTCGTAGTAGTAGTAGTAGTAGTCGTAGTAGTCGTAGTAGAGTAGTAGTAGTAGTAGAGTAGTAGTAGTAGTAGTAGTAGTGTGGAGCGGTAGTGGCGTCGTCGTAGTAGTAAAAGTAGCAGTAGTTGGCAGTGAGTTACTAGTAGTGGAAGCTGGTAGCATATTAGTAGTAGTAGTAGTAGTAGTGAGTAGTAGTAGTAGTAGTCGTCGTCATAGTCGCAGTTAAGTAGTAGTAGTAGTAGTAGTTAGTAGTAGTCAGTGGTAGTAGTAGCAAGTAGCAGTAGCAGCAGTGTTAGCACAGCATAGTAGTAGTAGTAGTAGTAATAGTAGTAGTAGTAGTAGTAGTGTAGTAGTCGTAGTAGTAATAAGTAGTAGTTAGTAGTAGGAGTAGTAGTAGTCGTAGCCGTAGTAGTAGTAGTAGTAGTAGTAGAGTAGTAGTAGTAGCAGTGGTACGAATAGTAGTATTAGGTGGTGATAGCGTAGTAGTAGTGTAGTAGTAGTAAGTAGTTGTAGTAGGAGTAGAGTTTATAGTATTACTAGATCGTATTATTATTAGTTAGTAGTAGTAGTAGGTAGTAGTAGTAGTAGTTAGTAGTCGTAGTAGTAGTAGTAGTAGTAGTAGTAGTAGTAGTAGTCGTCGTCGTCGTCGTCGTCGTCGTCGTCGTCGTAGTAGTAGTAGTAGTAGTAGTAGTAGTAGTAGTAGTAGTAGTAGTAGTACTAGTAGTCGTCGTAGTAGTAGTAGTAGTAGTAGTAGTAGTAGTAGTAGTGGTAGTAGTAGTAGTAGTAGTAGTCGTCGTCGTCGTCGTCGTCGTCGTCGTCGTCGTCGTCGTCGTCGTCGTCGTCGTCGTCGTCGCCGTCGTAGGAGTCGTAGGGGAATCCGGCGTCCATGTTCCGCTTTTGGAAGTCTTTGGCGCATGGGCCATGGAATTCTAGGGTTTCTTCAGGATTCCCCAAGAATTGTTTTGCATTGCGTTCCTCAGGCAGGTTTCCTGAGGATTCCTGAGGATTCCCTCAGGATTCTTGAGATTCCTGAGGATTACTTTAGATTCTTGAGGATTCCTAAGGAGTCCTCAGGATTCCCTCAGGATTCTTGAGGATTCCTCAGGCAGGGTTCCTGAGGATTCCTAGGGATTCCTGAGGATTCCCTTCGGATTCTTGAGGATTTCCTTGGATTTCGAAGGATTCCTCAGGATTCCTTCAGGATTTTTGAAGGTTCCGGAGGATTACTTTGGATTTTTGAGGATTCCTGAAGAGTCCTGCGGGTTCCTTTGGGTTCCTGAGGATTCTGGAGGATTCTTGAGGGTTGCTGAGGAGTCTTCGAGAATCCTGAGGAAGGATTCATCAGGATTCATCGGGATTCCTGAAGGTCCTGCGGATTCCTCAGGATTCCTCAGGATTCCCTCAGGATTCTTGAGAATTCCTGAGGATTACTATGGATTCTTAAGGATTCCTCAGGATTCCTTCGGCTTCCTCAGGATTCTTTAGGATTCCTGAGGATCCCTGAAGATTCCTGACGAACCCCTGCGCAGCAGCATGCCGCGTCGCCCGCGCCTCTCGCCACTTTCGCCCGAGGCCGCGGGGAGCTGCGGATTGGGGCGGAACTGGCGCGAGGCGCGGGCGACGAGGGCATTCTGCGTAGTGTTGTTACGTAGTGTTTCAAGGAGCGCCCCGAGTCGGCAGGATTCCTCAGGATTCCTTCGGATTCCCGAGGATTCCTTAGGATTCCTGAGGATTCCTGAAGATTCCTGACGAACCCTTGCGCAGCAGCATGCCGCGTCGCCCGCGTCTCTCGCCACTTTCGCCCGAGGCTGCGGGGAGCTGCGGATTGGGGCGGAACTGGCGCGAGGCGCGGGCGACGAGGGCATTTCGCGTAGTGTTTGTACGACGTGTTTCCAGGAGCGCCCCGAGTCGGCGCGCAACCACGCAGCAAACAACGACGCCCAAGCCTCGCGTCAACCGCGTCGCGTCTCACGTCACGCTCGCCCGAGGCCGCGGGGAGCCGCGGTTTCGAGCGGAATTGGCGTGAGACGCGGGCGACGGGGGCATTCTGTGTAGTATTTTTAGGTGGTGTGTTCAGGAGCGCCCCGAGTGGGCGCGCTACCACGCGGAAGTCAACACGCCCGAACCCCTGCGCAACAGCATGCCGCGTCGCCCGCGTCTCCCGACAGTTTCGCCCGAGGCCGCGGGGGGGTTGAAGATTGTTGTAGACATGTGTATATATATATATAATATATATATATTATATATATATATATATATTTATAAATCGTATTTTTTGTTCGGGACGCGTTCCCGAACCCGAACCCGACCCCGAACCCTTACACCCTCTACGCCCTCTTGCAGCGGAACAAGAACACCGGACTACCCGTGTCGTAGTAGTCGTAGTAGTCGTAGTAGTAGTAGTAGTAGTAGTAGTAGTAGTAGTAGTAGTAGTAGTAGTAGTAGTAGTAGTAGTAGTAGTAGTAATAGTAGTAGAAGTAGTAGTAGTAGGATTAGTAGTAGTAGTCGTAGTATAGTAGTAGTAGTAGTAGTAGTATACCCCCCCGCCCCACCACGCCCCCCCCCCCCCCGCCCCACAGGTCGTAGTAGTTCGTAGCTTAATATTTAGTAGTCGTATTAGTAGTATTTAGTATATAGTAGTTAGAGTATTGTAGTAGTAGTCGTAGTTTTGTATTAGTCGTAGTAGTAGTCGTATGTAATAGTAGTAGTAAAGTAGTAGTAGTAGTAGTAGTAGTAGTAGTAGTAGCAACAGCAGTAGTAATAGTAGTAGTAGTAGTAGTAGTAGTCGTAGTAGTAGTAGTAGTAGTACCAGTAGTAGTCGTAGTAGTAGTAGTAGTAGTAGTAGTAGTAGTAGTAGTAGTAGTATTACTAGTCGTAGTAGTAGTAGTAGTAGTAGTAGTCGTAGTCGTCGTAGTCGTAGTATTCGTAGTTGTCGTAGTAGTAGTAGTAGTAGTAGTAGTAGTAGTAGTAGTAGTAGTAGTATTAGTAGTAGTAGTAGCAGTAGTAGTAGTAGTAGTAGTCGGAGTCGGAGTCGGAGTCGGAGTCGGAGTCGTAGTAGTAGTAGTAGTAGTAGTAGTAGTAGTAGTAGTAGTAGTAGTAGTAGTAGTAATAGTAGTAGTAGTAGTAGTAGTGGTAGTAGTGGTAGTAGTAGTAGGAGTAGTACTAGTAGTAGTACTAGTAGTAGTACTAGTAGTAGTA